CTCACCTCTTTCTTGTGGGTTTTAAGCAAACGCGCAGTGAAATGGGAGCAACTAGAGTTTATTTTGTCATAAGGTAGTGTGATTATGCATGCCACGAAGTGTTTGCTAGTCTAGTACTGGAAAAATTAGCGTTTGGATGCGCATTGTGTGGCTTTAAGTGATTGTAACATTGCAGTTACGCTGTTGGTTCTGCCATAATCGTTGCAGACGAATCTAGCTGCGCGGCGTTGTATCATTTCAATTTTGTCTATGTCTCTTTTTAAATGTGGGTCCCAAACTGTACTGCCATACTCTAGCTTAGACCGAATGAGAGATTTGTATGCTGTGGCTTTCAGCGTTTTGGGCGCGTATTTCAGATTCCATTTGACGAAGCCAAGGGTGCTGTTGGCTTTCGCACATAAACTATTGATATGTTTGTCCCACTTCAGGGACTCAGGCTAAACTCGTTATATTTTTCTAGTGAATTCCCCTAATCGATGCAGCGAATCAATTTGCATTGGAGACTGATGGCTGCTGAAACTAGTGTTTGGCACTTTTTAGAATAAAAATAAATAACAAGAGGTGGCGCCACTGTGATCACAGCCACTCGCTCTTATCTTGATGGCTAGCAGGAACTCAAGGCGTATATCACCTTGTATATCAGAGAACCCAATAGTATGGAAAAGCTCAATACTCTAATGGTTTTCATTGAATATTGTTAGTATATATATACGTGATGTATTGAGTTAAAGTTATGGTATTATTGTCAGTTTAATTAGGCAAAATTACCACTATAATTATGTATTTTATGGCATGACAAAATCGTAGAACTAGAGATAAAAGCGTGAAAGGATGCTTTCAAACCCTGGTGAGAAAATAGATTAGTGGTGACAGTAAAAGATTATTACTGCTACCCGAGATATGTATAGACGGCGCAGGCTAGTTGCTGTTGATTAATAGAGTAGGTATTTTAACAAATGCAAAGGCTATATATATACGGCTTCACAGCAAAGTAATTGTTAGACGAGCAAATTAATTTGCAAATGGTATGTTGAACCTAGTTCTAAAATGGGATTTTAGTTTTAGGTAATTGAATCTCCTATTACAATGCCGCATATAGCAATATATAATAAACCATAGAAAATGCTACCTGTTTTTTTTAATATGTTAATTGCGTTTCTAATTTAACATGAATAGTCTCCAATTAACTATTCCTCCCCCATGGATTACGGAAATCTCTCTCTCTCTCTCTCTCTCTCTCTCTCTCTCTCTCTCTCTCTTTCTCTCT